AAGAGACGTCTTGGATTCAACTGTGGGTTCCAATTAAACCAAAAAGAGAATATAAAGAGTTTTAGTCTCCAGAAAGGGTTGTATAAAAACGTATACCCTGACTACGTATAATGCATATAGTACAATCCCTTCCTCCCCCAGGTAGTGTAATTAACTAAAACAAACCACTCCCGTAGAAAGCCACAACGTCCCAAGGGGAAAAAACAACAAAGGCAATACAAAGTATGGACATAAAATAAAGGAAAACCATAAGCAAGGTAATCAGAAACAAAGGGAGGGAAACAGTAAGAGAAAGGACGGGGGGGAAATACTTGCCTCCTGTCATTATTAAAATTAAGATTATTAGTACACTAAAGCTAACATAATTACATTTTACCACATGACAGGAGGCTTCATATTTTGCAGTTTCAACTCTGAGATAAAAGTGTAAAAGCTGGATTTGACAAAGGTCGGAAATAGAATGTCTGAAAAGTAGATTCTCTCGTCCAATACGCAGCCCGTAGAATGTCTGGAAGTGAGGCCCCTGCCGAGAGGGTGGATGAGGCTGCAACCCCTCACACGGAGTGTGCTCCAAAGGCCTGATCAATCCCAGCCAGAGAAAGCAGCCAACGAACCCATCTGGCCAACGTAGTGACCGAAACTGGACCATACGGGCGAACATAAGAGATGAGAGGAATGAGACCGCAACGTTGTGGTAGCTTCCAAATAGCAACATAGAGTCAAGACCACACAAAGCTGTGGGTCTGAAGAAAAAAGGGATAGAAAACCGAGGAAGAGTTAGATTTGGTGTGGCGTGAAACCTGAAAGGTAACCCCTGCCAGGCAAAAGGTAAACGCGTCGGTGTCAAACACGCGGACATCCAAGACCCGACGAAAGGAGGTCCCGACCTACACGGGACATGAAAGTCAGCATGAGCTGTACAAAGTCGGGTGTATGAGCCACTTCTTTGTCCAGGGATTTTAGGAGCCAAAAGTGCATAAACGTCGCAAAGTGTTCAGGGGGGGGTCCATTCCTCAGAGCGGGAATTTCCTGGGGTCAAACATCTGGAATGCCTACGTTTCATCTTGTGGAGCATCCATGGTCGTGGCCATAGAACCCTGGGGCTCACCCAACAGGTCAGAGTTGGGAGCAGAGTCCCAGTCACTCTCCTCCTGGTTCGGAGGCCTCCGTCTGCCATTCATCTAGCCATTTTTCCTCTGAGGAAATAGGTGCAGGCCTGTGGGCCATACGGGTCGCAGTCTTCTTGCGTTTGGCAGGGGCCTTGCCTTTGGATTTCCTGGGATTGGTATTTTCGCCCTTCCAGTGTCGTTTGGGAGGTTGTGACCGTTCCTTGGAGGAGTCAGAGTCATCGTCCTCCGAACCTGCCACATAATGGGCCCGTTTGGGAATGGGCTTGGCAGTGTCGTGTTCCACCTGGAACGTCTTGGAAAAAGGCCTTCTCCACAGAGGCAGCAACCGCTGTTGTGATCAAGGCCTGATGGGGTCTGTGTCTCTTCCATGATGACTTGCTACAAACACTCGCGGCTCACCCGGTGGTATTAGCGTGAGGGCAGTAGTGTAGTTGCACAGAGGGTAGGAGAGGCTTGGGGACCAGTGGGGTGGTATGGAAACTGGTACCAGATGATCTGTACTAATTGTGGCCGGGACATGCAGATGGAGAAGGTATGTAATCACTGGGGCTCACCCAAGAGTTCGGAATCCTGCGTGAACAGGTCCGTTCAGCAGCACATAACTGGGGGCTCACCCCGACCAGACTAAGGGATAAACCCAACTGGCTTGAACCAACCCCTACTGCAGAGTACTAACCTGGACCTGGTCCCACCGATATCCCTGAGAGGGAGTGCAGAAATAGGCTCTGAGTAGTAATGTTTGGCAGGGCACAGTGGATGCATACGAATGTCCAGTAAAGCTTGGCGTTCGCACGCGAACAAAACAGTCGACCGCCAGCACCTAGAACCCAGCGTTCGTGGCTAACTTGTAAAACGCCTGGGGCGTTTGTCTAACGAATGCACCTTTCGCGTACGAATGCCTGGATGCAGGCTTTCGTAAGCGAGTGGCCGTTCGGTTCCCCAAGTGGTTAGTTTGGTGGGAAAAAATGCCAAACGGGGTAAAAGACCCACGCAAATCAGGGGAAAGGGGGAGGCCCACAGCGCAAGGGCACAAAACCGGGACAGCAGGAGAGCACCAAGGACCCCAAGAACAGAAAGGGAGATACCTGAGGTGAAACAGGTAGGGATAGGAAGGACCTCAGAAGGCAGGTGATAGTAGCCACCCGAGAATGGTCAGAAAAAGTGTAATAAAGGTAATAAAGAGCATTATTCTAAAGACAAATAAGAAAAGGAGAAAAGAAAGGTTGAGTAAAGGACAGAGAGAGGATAACCAAAACTCTGTTCTTATCTTGTGATGGAGCAGCAAAGAGAAATGAATCGCTGCAGTGAGACATGCCTCTTATAACCTATGCTTGCTTGTGATTGGTTCTCAGTTTTCTCATTACTTTTCTTTGCTGCTATGGAGTTAGCAAAGAAAGATTATGCAAAATATGAAGCCTCCTGTCGTGGTAGTTAGTTTCACAAGTGCCATTTTTCTCCTATATGTAATATTTTAGAGTCCGTTATTATTGGATGTTTAGTTAAAAAAAAAAGAAGTTGATTCACCATATAAGAACTGATTGACTGATAAAAGTCTCATGTCTTTAGCCTGTGCAGACTGTGTTAAATTATGAGATTGTTACAAATGTCTGAAATTCTCTGAAAAGACAGCATTTACATTAAAATGACAGCAAAGACAGGCAGTAGACAACCAGAACTACATTTAACTGTAGTGTTTCTGGTGAATATAGTGTCCCTTTAAGGTAAATCTGAAACCCCTATAAATAGGGGCAATTATAAAAAGTGTGTCCCTCCAGAAGACCGCAATCGTTTCTAATGCAGCCCAGAAACATACATATCCTTTAAAGTGGACGTGTCATTTGCCTGAAAGTGGCAGATCCTCTTTCCTTCACCCCGGGGAAAGCTCTTTAGGCACTCACTGAGGTGAACAATACCGTGAGTAGGAAAAGATGTAAATAAAAAATATATTTACCACTGCATCACTTGTGTTTTATAGTTACACATTCTTCCCATGATGCTCCTGGTCTGCTCATTCACAATTGGGCATATGCATGAAAATAGTATATTAGTGCTTGAATATTTATTCTATAGTGCTGTACGCGAGCATACAATACAGAATTAGCCTGACTATGCCAAGACAGCCAGATATACAATGTGATTAAAAAAAAATAGAAGCACAAACCCAGTCTTAACTTATAGTTTGCTGTAGGGTTGTGTCACAGATGCGACCTTGTGCTATAAGCATCTAGTTAGCCCAACTTGCTACTGGAAATTAATTTGAATAACCTTTATTTATATTTTTTTCTTGCCTAAACTGTAGTTATAAGATCAACCATTTGCAGTCTACTGAGATGTAAAAATTGCACTTTCTCCTTTATTTTTTTTTTTTAATTTATAAATTCTTTTATGTATTTATAGTTTATTTGGTCTGGGTATGTTTTTCTGAACCCACAGCTTGTCATACCCTATCTCGGTAGTCGTCATACAATTCACTGTCTCTTCCTGCACAAATTTGCTCACCACTGCAGAAATTTGAAAAGAATGTCTGCAGCTATAACTCTTAGTGACAGATGTTACACTCTTCTACCTCCTCCAGATATAGAAGCACCACGTCCGTTATGTTCAGAGTCAGAGAATCCTACAACTCCATTCAGAAAACCGTGAATAGAACTGTTAGCAGTACCTTTCATGTTATCTGAAGAATGAAACATCTACCGAGTGATCTACATGCTGGCCAGGGGTTTGTGGGACATGCACAGCTCCCATAGTTAACATGAGCATCCTGATTGGGTGAACCAGGTCTGAATTTAGGTAGAGCTCTAATCAGAAGTTTCAAATCCTGGGGAATTTCAGTTTTATGTTTTTTGGATATGTTTATGCCGTATCTATATAATCCTTTTAAAATTGGTGAACACTTCAAGCTTGCAATATGCCTTCCACGTAGTGCGTTTACCAAGTCTTGTAAGAAGTTTATCTATTTGTATATTACAAACAAAATCAGTAAACTGCAAGCAGGTTATTACTATATGTGCAGTTCTTAACAGGATGAAAGTCTGTATCCAAATAATGGTACATCTTTACTTGCAATTTTTTGATGTTATTTTTTTTATCCAAACCAATTAATATTCCCTTTTGGTGCTATAAAAATAATCTGTATTGCAATGGAAAATCATATTTTCTATGTTACAAGCAGATTTGTGCATGTCAATAAATACTTTTCTGATTAATAACTTTGAAAGCTTACTCCAACACAGTGATGACAGTAAGTTGAAGTGTTCATGGTGTTGATTATTTAAAGAGATACAGAACTTTGCTGCCAGAGGTGCAGTGTTAATTTTGGCGACTAACAATTCTAGTCAAATTTTGAGATTTAGTCGACTAACACTAAAATGACTTTTTAGTAAAAAGACTGACTAAAATTAGATTGAAATTTACCTCCAAAATTAACACTGCGGTAGTGTCATTAGTAACCCAATGCCAGCCCTGTGCATAAAAAGTGTCCATCGCCACTTGTGTCCAGTTTGCTATATCCTGTAATATTTTTTTATTTTATTTTATTATTCTTAATTTAAGAGACAAGCCACATTAATACATTAGCAATTAGATTTGTAATAGTTAAGTGCAATGCAATCTTGACCCAAAGATACAACTGAACAAACATAAGAGGAAAGAGAGATAGAGAAGAAAAAAAGATAAAGTAAAGGGAAACAGAATATTATTTAGTGTTTTTTTGTTTTTTCATAATTCATATAGATAGCTATAACAAGTTACTCATATACTGGGAATGGTTATATTTGTATTTAGTTATTTCCTTTCACTGCTACTACAATTGTACCTGAATCATTCAGAGCAACCATAAAGACTTGCCTGATCACTTTTATTCCCAGCACTTATGTATGTGCACATTGTAGTTAATGCTGATACAGCAGTATTTGGTGCCAAAACTGGTATCTAGGCATCTTATTGCCATGTAGTCCTACGTTACTCAGATACACACTGGCCTAGTAACCAGATTCAAATATTCAGATAATGCAGTAACTAGGGTTAAAGGACCACGCCAAACCCCAAAAGCACTTTAAGCTGAGGGGTAGCCTGGTTTAACCCCAGTTCTAAAAGTGCAGATTTCTATAAGAAAGCTGCACTTTTATAAATTTGCTAGGGAACGCCCCCCTAGCTGTCAATCAAACAGCCAGGGAGGTTTGCTGCCTCCTTCTGTTAGCTCCCCTGAGCTAACGGAAGTGACAGACACGCTCTACTTGAGTGTGCCTGCCTCCCCCTCACAGACCTCAGCCCAGAAAGGAGCGCGCCCACAAGCCGGCAGGCACACATAACTGTGCATGCATGTATGCATTCTCCAATACAGAACTGTGCATGCGCGCACCAAATCAGGTTATTTCCCTGTGAAGACTCTTCCGGGGAAAAGGGTGAGGGCTTGCTAAGGGTGCAGTTATGATCTGCAGCCTTTGCAAGCTCTTTTAAGATATACCCCTAATGATACAAGCCTGAAAATTCATGCTTGTATTCATTAGGGTGTATAACTATTAAACAGTTATTTTTTCTTCTTCTTGTGGGCATTGGAGTGCTCAAGACAATTAAAGGGACACTTTACGCATACCCACTCATATTATTGAAGTGGTTATGGTGCCAGGATACCATGCCTGCATCCTTACTATTTAATTCGTTTTCATTCTGTCAAAAGAAGACTTTTTAAACAGAGCTCCAACCTCTGTATAGAAGTTCTGTCACCCAGGAATTACACTCCCCAGCTCAATTAATTTTATGTTGGCACTAATGTGAGAACGACTTGTAGAGTGCTTGTAAGTCAAAGACTCTACTTGTCTCTCTGATTGGTGCTGGACACTACTGGGGAAAGCACACACAATCAAACATCAGAGAGGTAGCCCTATATTGGAGAGACTCCAAATGTCCCAGTTTCTGGTGTGCCAGCCTGGCCATGTTCAAAATGTGAGTAAATGCAGAAAGATAAGTCCTGCGCTCACTCCCATGTCTTTGCTACCGCCAAGTGATGGGAGTGAGCGCAGGACTTATTTTTCTGCATTTGTATCACTCAGCCTTGTTACAATGCTGCCGCCCATCCCATGTGTTCAGGGTTAATAATATATAGGGGTGTATATTCTGTCTCAATAGAGATCTTTGCCAGAAGCTCAAGGAAGCAAGGTGAATGGTCAGAGTTAGGACCCACCTGGGGGGTCTGCCTTGACGTTGGCAGGTGGGCTTATCCTCTCATGGCCATTGGAGGTTGGCCATTGGAGGTAACTAAAAAAACGCCATTTGTTTAAAAATACATGGGGATTAAGGAGAGAGCCAGGTAACTTGTTTTTCTTTGGTTTTTACTATATATTGGGGCTGATGTGTACTGTAGTCTTTGCTGCCATCCAGTAATGGGAGTGAGCGCAGGACTTATCTTTCTGCATTGATGATCTTAGCCTGGGAGGTGGGGTGGCTGCATTGAGACCAAAGATGTGAGAGAGTAAAGCGAAGTATAAAAAGCTTTATTTTATTCATTCTAATATAGCGATAGTATAACAATAAAGTGTTAGGAATACAGGTTTGTATTCATAACTCTAAGTATTCCTTTAAGAGTATCTTAGAAGCTCTTTGCTGTTTTAAATGGCCACGAATGCCTGTCTTGGAATAAAGATATCAATCATATTGTCTGACTTGAGAAATCTGTAAGTGGCTTTTAATATGTTGTAATGAAATTGAATGTGTTGAATATATTATGTCCTTGTTGCATATTTCGAGTTGCCATTTGATTGTAACAATCCTGACCTTTATAATACCTCTGCTTTGTCTCTCCTACCATTCTGCAGAACACATACAAAATACGAGATACACCTAGATAGAAAACATCAAGAAAGGAACAATCACATCCTAAACACCGTTTAGTAAATGGAACCCTAAAATAGTATTGCACTCACAAAAAGATGATGAAAATCAAGCCCATCTAGGTTTTCTTTAATCTTGTCAGGAAGTCTTGTAGGGGAATGCTTGATTCAAAAATAGGAGATAAAAGCGCCCATCAAGTATTTGACTCTCTTGCAGAATGACAATCAGAGGTTTCAGATACAAAAATGGTAAATAAAGTAAAAGCAGCTCTACGCGTTTCATCTAAAACCTTAGACTTCTTCAGGAGCAAATAAAAAACTATCAAATAAATAACAATATAATAAGTCCGTAAGTGCTGATGTTGTCTTCTGTTCGGTCTTCTTTTAAATGTGTCTTTTGCCGGGTTGCCGTTCGCACCATCCAATCCGTGAGCTTGGTATCACCTAATTTCGATGTACTAGAGTCCCAGTCCACATATGGACTTCCGTCAATCGTTCCGTGGAACGCAAATGCGTTCCACCGAACCGGAAGTGAGAGCCTTCTTACACATCCGTCATTGACGGCTGGAATGCACATGCGTTCCACCAGGCCGTTACCTTGATCGAAGTTAGTCCGTATTCTTAAAGAGGGCAGATTGGCAGAGAAATGCAGAGTTAATTATACAGAACATGAAACTGGCATTATAAGTGTATATATAAATTACCTATAGTACTCCAAATGTGAAAAAAGTAATTTGATCGAAGGGAGGGATCTTGGATGCAATAAATAAATAAAAAACAATAAATGAATAATAGGCAAGAGAAAAAATACAAAAATAACACAAAAATGAAAATAATAAATTCTGCAGAACAATCTATTATTACATTTTCAGGTGAAAAAAAAAATTAACCTAATTTACAGTTGACTAACACACTTCATCTATACAAGGTCAAAACTGATGTAAAACGAATATGTTTTAGAAACCATTGTTACCCCTGCTATTCATTTCTTAAAGGGGCACTCCAGGCTTAAATAGATCCATTTGTATGCATTGTTTGACCAATATATAAAGATGTGCAAATGCAACCAATTTGCCCACTCTAGGAACTGACTTGGTCCGCCATATTCTAGTCTAAGCAGTGTGAATCGAGTTGAACTATAATTGTAAAAAGCATGCAAACACGTTTTCTGTGTCTAAAGCATATTCAGGTGTTTTAACAAACCTATACATTTGATGTTTGTTGCATCTATTGAGCATTACATAAAAATGACTATTGTCAGTGTTCTGGTCTCAGTCCATATTTCAAAATCTCATAATTTTTGTAAGTTATATAGGGCTATGGTATACCACATTACAGTTCATACTGTTCCCAGGGGGTTAAAGCAATTATCTTCCTATTGTAGTTCCAGAAAAACATAGCATTTATGTATTCACTTGCTGTTATAAAAGTGAATTAATAAATGTGATTAATTAGTGAAGTCAGTGTTTAATTCTATAGCGCATTTCTGTACATGAAAAAAAACTCTGCAGTTACAAGACCGCTCTCCGGAGCTGTCAGTCAGGTAGCTAGAATTATTTTAGCTCCAGTACTGGGTGGGAGCTAGACCAAAAAGAAAGGTGAATAACCCAGTTCTTCAAACCCCGCAACAATCAATGGGAAAACAGATTCTCCCCACTAGAAAGTCGTACAGAAACACCACCAAAAAGGAAGAGAGCAGAGGAAAATCCTCGGAGGGAGGAATATCTAAAAAGAAATTAGGAATGAAGTCAGGTATTTATAATTTAACAGATATAGAGTTAACCACAGACAATCTAAAAGCTCTTAAAAAAGGTCTTAAATTCGCACCTAATCAAGGCATGAATTATTTCGATACCTATATGGATCTCCAAAAATTCATTCGGAAGATGACCCTTAAAAGATTCTTTCTAAAACATCCAGGTAAAGATAATCCACCTCAGACTCTACAGTCAGATGAGAAAAAGTTTAAAAAGAGATCACACTTTTATCCTATTAGTCAGAAGGGCCATCATCTAGAAACATTCAGTAGTATGGTCTGTAGTGACCTAGAACCACTAGATCTACAGCAAAAAGTTAATAAAAACAAGAAATTTAATCTCACTAAAGGGGAAAGTGCCAGTATTAAAAAAACTCCAAAGTATGGAGAATGTCATCATTAAAGAAGCGGACAAGGGGGGGCAGTAGTCCTAATGACCAAGGACTATTACCTCAAAGAGGCAGATAGAATCTTAGGGGATAATAAAACATACCTAAAATTAAAACATGACGCCACAATTCAGTTCAATCAAGAACCTAAATCATGCCTGTGAGAGAGATGTGGTATCTAAAGAAAACATTGAATATCCTGTAATCCCCATTTTTAACTTTTTACCCAAGTTACATAAGAACCCTGTAGAGCCCCCGGGAAGACCCATCATAAGTGGGATAGATTTAGTTACATCACGTCTTTCCGAATTTATAGATCACCACTTACAAACATTTGCTCAACAAGCACCCTCCTATATAAGAGACTCCTCCCATATTCTGGAGTTAATGGCAAATAGAGATTGGGAAAAAGATTATATATGGGTAACAATTGACGTAACGTCGTTATACACAATAGTTAAACATGAGTTGGGCATTCTAGCGCTAGAGAAAATCATGAAGGAGGACACTAACACATCAAATGATTTGAGGAATTTTGTATTGGATGGTATTCATTTCATCTTACACCATAACTATTTCTTCTTCAATAATGTCTTTTACCTTCAACAAACTGGCACAGCCATGGGGACCAGTTTTGCCCCCAGCTATGCCAACATATACATGAGAGCTTGGGAAGCCAACTCCGTGTGCAGGGGGCATGGCTGGGTTGCAAACCTGGTCCTTTAGAAACGTTTCATAGACGACGTGATTCTAATTTGGAAGGGAACCCAAAGTGAACTGGAAAAGTTCCTAAATTACATTAACATCAATAATTATAATCTAAAGTTCACCTATACATTTGATACCAGAAGCATAAACTTTCTGGATATTACATTTTATATTACAAATAATAAGGTTCAATCAAAGTGCTACTTTAAGGAAACAGAAGGAAATAGTTTCATTCATAAGAGTTGCCATCATGAAAATCGGCTAAACTCCATACCTAGGAGTCAACTGATTCGAATTAAAAGAAACTGTACAAATAATTATGATTATCAGGAACAAGCCAAACATTTATGTAACAAACTTATGTCCAAAAAATATGAAAAAAGCATATTAGATAAAGAAGTTAAGGAGGCAGGAAGACTAGATAGAAAGGATTTAATTAAAAAGAAGAAAAGAGTCAAAGATAATGGGAAGAATTTCAAATATGCATTTATTACCCAGTATAACATTCAACATCGAAAAATAAAAAATATTCTAAATAAACACTGGGGAAGTTTACTTAAAGATCCAATTTTAGGAGAGATACTACCCAAACGGCCACCGATGATTTTCAGAAAGGCAAAAAATTTAAAAAGTTTACTGGCTCCCAGTTATGCTTTAAAAAATAAATATGAAAATAATAAAGGTGAAATTAAGGGTTTCAGCTCGTGTAACCATTGTAAAGCCTGTCTAACACAAAGGTTTTTGAAAGCATCAAACTTTAAATGTTCTGTCACAGGTAGGGAATTTAACATCAAAACTAACATAAACTGTGACAGTAAAAATGTGGTATATTTGTTATACTGTCCCTGTGGGAAGCAATACGTGGGACGTACATGTAGAAAACTCAAAAAACGGATTTTGGAACATAAAAATAATATTAGAAAAAAATATAATAAACATTCAGTTCCCATGCATTGCAACTCATGTCCCAATTTTAGTTGGAAACACTTCCATTATATAGGTTTAGAAAAAATTAACAAACATTGGAGGGGTGGCAACCTCATCAAAAAATTAGCACAGCGAGAAACGTATTGGATTCATATATTGAAAACCCTCCAACCAGGAGGATTAAATGCAGGCATAGACCTGTGGTGTTTCTTAGAATAACTGTTCCCCCTTCTCCTCTCTCCTTTTTTTCTCTCTCTGTCCGTCAGAGGTTGTGTATATTATATACATCCATTTAAATATGTTTTAATAAGGAATAAGTCAAGAATTAGTTCCCCTTTTCTCCACTAGAGAGTATAGGGAGAATAATAGGGGAATGTATTTTCTAATAAAATTTTCTATTTTATGTTATCTTTTTGAACATTGGGCTTTTCAGAGGCATTAGACATGCCTTATTTAAAATTTCAAATTTCAAGTCTCAAATTTCAAAATTTTATAGTTTTTTTGATAGGTAGAAGAACTACCACCTTTATTATTATTATTTTTACATATTTTTTATGCATTTTTCATAGATTTTTTTCAATTTTTATAAATTGTAGAATTATACTTTTTCATACATTTATGGTATCATTTTGAACATCTTGGCTTGTGCATATTACATTATGCAGTGTGCATGTTGCCTTATGCAGTATGGAGTTAGGCATCTATGCAAACAGGCATATAAATATATCAATGCATGAAACACAGGTTATTGGTGTGTTTGTTTTTTTATCAATAAAGTTTATTTATAAGATTTTCAGACCAGTAATATCTCTTTAACTATTTTGTCACTCCCCTTTGTACACTCCCCACTCATACTCCCATTTAGAAACAGTCTTTTTCTGACTTTTTTTCAACATCCCAGCTTGTCACCATGATAGACAGCTGAAACGAAGGTGGAACGCATAGTTGGAACGCATGACGTCATCACGTATGTCACGTGATCGCATAGGATGAACGAAACCCGGAGTGACCAAATTTGAACCACAAACAGCTGAAGAAAAACTGAATCATCTGCAGAACAACTATTGGGACTGATTGGGGGTGGTATATATTAGGGGATGTTTGTAACTAGGATTGTATGCATTTGTACTCAGCATTGTTGTTAAAGATTGTCCCTGAGGAAGTCCCTAACAGGGAAGAAACGCGTTGGACTGATATATCTGCTATTATTTACTTTGATGCAAGTAATAAATGCTTTTTTTACTCTTTATCCATACAGTCATTTCATCCATTTTTTTGCACCTTGTTTTTTTTATATATGAGATTTACATTCATCAAGCATTGAAGCAAGAAGGCACACCAAGCACATTTTTAAGGCATTTCTTGGGATGTTAAAGTGTGAGTGAGTATTATATACAGTATTGCACTATGCCACATATCTTTTATTTCCCTGGCTTGGAATAGCCCTATACCATACATTTGTTGAATTGAAGATAGGAGGAAATCTTAGGGCATATCCTATATTGCTAAGGAAAGTTATTTTTTATTTGTTTATTTCACCATAATCACCTTTAAATTGAAATCTTTGTATCACTGTATGTGGATATTAGAATCACTGTTGTGAATTTACAGTGTGAGAGATTTCATATATTTTTTTATCCAGTACTGGATGCCTCAGATTAATCAAACTCACACTTTGAAGAGTCTGAGAAGAGGCTGTTTTTTTGTTTGTTTGCTTTTTTTTTTTTTTGATGCAGAAAATAAGCAGCTTAGTTGCCATGATGTACAAAAGGTATGCACAATGGGGCGTGGCGTGGCTTGACTGTGAAGCTGTACCGACGCACAAGCCAAGAGCTCCTGGGCCCAGGGCCAATTCCGGCTAAAATCGGGGGCAAATTAAATAATCCTGAACCCCACCTCACCACAATTTGCTCCGCAGACACTTGTGAACAGGGGAAAAACCGCCGGAATGACCAAGCTGAGGCCTGGGGCCTATACCAAGCAGGGCAAGGGAAAGGCCGCTGCTCTCCTGACCCACAACCACACGCAGCACCTGCAGAAAATGGCTGTCCCCAACCCCTAGGACCGGTTGGGGTTATCCCGGTCCCAATCGTCTCGACTGGCAAGCCTCAGTGGACCCTAAAAGCGGACACCAGCCCCACTCACACACCAAACTTACAGGCAACTCGCGCTTTGAAATGGCGGACACGCAGACTCATGGACAATTTGGGCCTCCACAACAAAACCCCACCACAAAAGACTCTCTCAATACCCGCCTAGACGAGCTGTTTGAGGCCTTCTGGGCACGGATAGCGGCCCGACACAAGGCAGAGCAATCAAAGCTGCTGGAGAACGGAAGCACGGAGGGCCAACAAGGCGCCATCGACCGAAGTGGGACCAGGCTGCCTTCGGGCAAAGCCGTGAAAACACAGTCTAAGAATCTCCTCACCAGCCCATCTGGGCCGAGGGCCATCAGGGGATCAACCCCTGAGCATCGACCACGCAGGCGGAGACCCACTCGCCGACGGCGGCATACCACCAACACCACGGTCTACAGACCAGTCCCGAAAGGGAAGGACCCGGCTTTCACAAGTCCCCGAGTCCATGGCCACAAGATGCCGGCCCTTCTACAGGCCCGGAGCAAGAGGGCGCCACCGGTTAGCTCCTGGCCGACCGCCAACCTCCACAATACCTCACACAATCGCAAGAAAGCACAGCAGCATGCGCCCGCGGTGAAGGCTCTAACCCAGATGGCGCACAAGCAGCAGAGCCCAATGAAGCTGTCAGCAACACGGAGGTGGGAACCACTGAAGAGCAGACCTCAGCACTATTGTACTAGTTGGCGTGGAATACTATGGCAACCCCAGCCTGTTTAAAATCAATAGAGAAACTGAGGGCTTGCCTGCACGTACACCTATTCGACTGTATAAACGTATGTAGGCTTATGGCAATTCACAACTTAACCATAATATTACGTACTGTTGCTATGATGTCATAGAAGAGGCTTAGCTACTACAATACATATTGTTTACCACTCGACTTAACCGTATATATATATATATATATATATATATATATAAAAACATGTGCTAGAATTTTCTTGTACCCTTACGCTACAATGTTTGAAATGTGCTAGAGGATTGCCTTTGGGGTACCTCACAAGCAGCTGTTTTAAACTTACGCACTACAAAAATAAAGAATAAAAAAAAAAAAAAAAAAAGGTATGCACAATCACATGGGTCGGATTTCCTATCCAATCAAGAAGTAGCCAACAAAAGCTGATTGATGAATAGGGGATAGACAGTAAATGTTGATTTTATTCAGAGACCAAGTGGCAACTGACTAATAGAGGGGAAAAAAGGAGAAGTAAAAATTTTTTACTTCCAAGCAGATACTTTGTAAATGATAGGATATTTAGGGATTCTGCTAGTGTACCTGCAATAGAGGATAAAACATAGTGCAAATATTGTTTTATACTTTAAAATAATATAATGATTTATATGCACTCACAGATTCCAAATTGGTAAAGCGTTTTATGGGTGCCTCCCTACGATGTAGACTTTTTTTTTTTTAATTAAATATCCCTCCTCGAGTGATAGCCGATGGGATATCAGGGTCAGCAAGATGATCCAACAGACTCCAACCAGATGAATACTTCAAAGGCAATTTATTCACTCAAAATCAGGAGGTGTACAAATAGAGCAATAAAAACAAATATAAGAGGATCACCGGTCCTACGCGTTTCATCCTTATGCAAAAGGACTTCCTCAGGGACCTCTTTCAATAAAAACAACAATCAAATGTACAATAGATAACAAGGCATGCTAAAAACGCTACCAAACAATCTTATATAGGGCTTATCCCTTCAAGTCATTGGTGGAATAGTGGGTGTTTTCCCTCTTCTCAACTTCTATTCGTCCGGTATTTTCCTCCAGGTGTAGCTGCTTTGCTGAGAATGTCAAGTTCCTTCCGCATTGATTTCTGCCACTTCCGCATACGTCACGCGTTACGTTTTTCATCACGTGACCGGTGTGCGTTCCACACTCGAAAAAAAAAAAACACGTGATGAAAAACGTAACGCGTGACGTATGCGGAAGTGGCAGAAATCCATGCGGAAGGAACTTGACATTCTCGAATAGAAGTTCAGAAGAGGGAAGACACCCGCTATTCCACCAATGACTTGAAGGGATTAGCCCTATATAAGATTGTTTGTTTGGTAGCGTTTTTAGGATGCCTTATCAGGACTGTGCTACACCTTATGTGGAATTACTTCAGTTAGGGATGTTTGAGGGATACCTCCCAATTACCTCAGATTACTGTTAGAACACAAATTAGTGCTCTCTCAGGACGGTGACTCTAGAGTTCATATCCTGTACTGCTATACACCTGGGGTTACCCCTGGCTAGGTCATTCTACTTTGTCCTACTGTATAGAGTCAGGCTATTACAACATGATTCCCAGAACACACGGCTTAAAGAGATATACCAAGACCTTTGAACAACTGTTTTCATACACTGGGCACCCCGCTATGTATACGCTACTCTATACTGCTGAATGAAGGCAGGCTATGACAATGTCTGTTAGCTACTGGACAGAAATTTCAACACTTCCAGCTTAGCAGGATATCTCCCATGACAGTGCATTAATTGGAAGAGCTGAGGGGGGCTCTCTATAAGGCTGATGGCCAGCACTTTAGGGTTCATACCCTGTGCACCCGGCTTGAGGACCCTATTAGATGTACACTGCACTGCTGCAGGGAGGCATGCTGTTACAGACTGTCAACTGCTGGACAGGATTTTCAGCACTCACTGCTTACATGAATTTCTCCGTCGACAACCCATTTAATTGTTTGAGAACTGATTGATGTGGTCTACCAGAGCGGTGGCTAGCACTTAAGGGTTCAGACTCTGTGCACCTCGGGTGAGACCCCTAATATATGGACGTCGCACTATACTGCTGAGGGAAGACATATTGGGACAGCCTCTGTTAACGGCTGGACAGAATTTTCAACACTTCCAACTTAACAGGAAATTTTCCATGACAGGGCATTAAAGGGACACTATAGTCACCTAAACAAGTACAGCTTAATGTAGTTGTTCAGATGAGATCTATAGCTCCCTGCAGGCAATCTAGTGTAAACACTGTATTTTCATAGAAAATACAGTGTTTACATTGATTGATAGGAATACCTCCAGTGGTCATCACTCAGACGGCCACCAGAGGGACTTCCTACCATGTATAAAAAGGCCATGTACACGTCAGATGTATTAAGATACATCTGACGTGTGCAGGAGAGAGAAGGCACTGTGTGCGCGCCTTCTCTCTCCTGCCTGTCAGCAGAGGAGAGGGGGCGGGCAAAGACTGCGAGCTGAGCTGAATGCCGCCCTATGAAGTATGTGCGCATGTGCGGCAAAGCCGCGCATGCGCACAAGGGAGCAATGACGCTTCCAAATGGAAGCGTCTGATTGCTCCCTGCTCGCGCCGCCTATTTCGTAATTTTGCCGAAATAGGGGGCGTGGCTTCACGAGGCTCCCGGCTCTGGAACGAGGTAAGTAAAAAGGGCTGCCTGGAGTGTCCCTTTAATTATTGGAAGATCTGAGGGAGGCTCTCTATCAGGCTGATGGCCAGCACTTAAGGGTTCATACCCTGTGCTCCTAGGGTGAGGCCCTATTATATGTGTGCTGCTGAGTGGAGGCATGCTGTTGCAGCCTCTATTTACTGGGTGAGTCCCAGTCTATTTTATTTGGGCACTATTCAGAGTACAACCCTGCTGGGGTTTCTGTGAACACTACCTACCACTATGGTAGGCTGATTTGTTTGCCCTGCCTACTGGTTTGTGCCATATCATGATAAAACTACCTGCCTATTTCTCTCTGGGGGATCCCCATGTAACTAAGATGACGGTGCCTCGCATGCTTACTGGTCAATGGCTGTGTAACCTACACATCCTTCACCCACGTTCGAGAGACTGGTCCCCTCCAAATCGCCTGGCTACTTTATGCACCTGTGGCTTTGTAGCCTCTAGATACGATGTCCGTAAATGCAGGGCTCTGGGTGATCGCGACTCCGCAAGGGAACCAGGAGAGGTATCAGAGAGTCAACCTCGGGTGCTATGGACGATCGGACAGGGAACACAGAATGCACTAGATACTGTTTCTCCTCAGGTTAACGCCTCTAAGTTACCATCCACTATACTTTCTACTCTGCCCACAGAAGTTTCCATCGTATCTAGGCGGAAGGCATTCAAACCTAATAAAGAACCTTTCGCATCGACGACATAGGTCTCCTCTATCCTCAAGTAATTTTCACACGGTCCTCCACTGCAACACCGTGACCCTACATACACTCACCCGGGTCGTGGGATACTGCCTTCCTCCATCCAGGCCATATTCCCAGACTCGCTACGTTACCAGGACTGCAAGTGAGGTCTGGTCAGGTTCACTCAGACAGACCCCCACGAACAACCGGACTTAGCTTGGTAGTCGGATATCAGCTTGTGGGGCAAGGGGCTGCTAAGTCAACCTGCGAGACCACACCCACAGAAACAGGCTCACAATTCAGGAATTCTCCCTTCACGTTGCAGACCTAGCATTCTTTGTGCAGTACTTCACAATCTACTGCCTGGTAAAGGAGTACTCCGCCGGTTGCATGCTACTACAGATAGCCAGAGCATTGACAGTCAGGTATACCAATCGCCTGGACGGAACTAACCCCCATCTACTATCAGACATCATGAAAGGCATCTTTAATTCCTGCCTTCCTCGCAGAACCCCGAGGTCGGCCTGCCTCCCGGGGTACACACCTATCAGAGGGACCGCCCGAATGCAGCGTTCTTCAATTGGCACATTGCACGAGGGTGCACAATAGTGATCGCACTCCGGCCACCTGGGCCTCCCCGGGGGACGTATGGTTTTCCTCCCTTGTGATGATTGCGAAACTTCTCCATCATCTCATTGTTCAGCGAACAACACTGCCTTTGCCGTCCCGCTGTGACAGAGTCAACCTTGTTTCTCGGATCTCGCATATCTTCCTCCTACATTCATATCCTACTATTCTCACAGATCTGAAGGAAACCCGCATCTTCTCTTCCTGGAGGGTCGGCTGACCCTGGTGGCCGGGACTCTTGCTGGGGTTCTTGGCAGGTCGTCGAACTATCGTAGGCTGCTAGGGACCTCTTGGGCCCCAGGGACATAATGATGCTACCTCTGGGCATTCCCGGTCTGACTGATGTTTGGAACTGTACCTTGATCCATTATGGGTTGGTTTGGACAACTATATGGCCCGTGTCCCGGTCTGGGGACTCCCGATGGACAAGGATCCTGAAATGTATGTACCCTTACCCAGTGACATCCACCTCTGGCTCATGGGACATGGAGGTCATTCTCTGTTTTTTTCTACGGGACTGGGGCACCTACTGATAGACTTTTATGCTTGGACCGGTGTCTTTCTGCCAGGTACCGGATGATCAGGCATTCGACAGGGAGGTTTCTCCAGTAGACCCGACGTGCTAGGTATTCCGTCGCACTTTCGGCTTCTTCATTAATTTTCTATTTCTTTCTCAGCGTTAAAAAAGCAAAATAGGAAACCTCCTGTCATGTTGTAAAATTGAAGATTATGCTAGCTTTAGTGTACTAATAATCTTAATTTTAGTAATGACAGGAGGCAATTATTTTCCCTCCCTGCTTCGCTACCCACCCTAAGGTAGGTTTGGCTTTCAATGTTTTGTGCTTACATTAATGATTGTATTTCCATTAATATGGAATTCTCATTGGAGTTTTACATTATAGTTATTCAGTTATTAGATTGTAGTTTACAATTTTCTTCTATGGGATGATGTATACGTGGATTTTCATGTTCATGACTTTGTGTCTAAACCTGTCACACATTCTCTTTTCAGTATGATTCGTCTTTGAAGTCATTTTGTTGTTCGTGTGAAACTCTGGAATTTTGATCCTTCAGATTTGATTCATCCCTGAACACATTTCGATGTTTGTGTAGAATTCACCGGGGAAGTTTGCTCCTTCGGATGTTGGACTTAAGAGTTATTGTTTTGCTTGTTATATGTTTACTTCTGCTTGATCTCGCTTTTTGAAAGAGGAAATGATGAGGTCACTGTGCCTTATGTACATCCTACTCTCATGTGATTGGTTCTTTTTTTCTATATGTTTCTTTGCTGCTGTGTGGAGCTAGTAAAGAGAGATTATGCAAAATACTCGCCTCCTGTCATTACTAAAATTAAGATTATTAGTACACTAAAACTAGCATAATCTACAATTTTTTTCTTAGTGTGTTCAGTCTAGTGTGAATAGTGCAAGTACTGTGCAGTTTCTTAACGTCAAACACAATAACGTTACAGTAATAAATCCAACAAGCACTAACCCATTTTGCAACACAAACACATAACTTTTCTGCAGAAAGTTGTTAGTTTACACAATAAACAATCATTCATATGCCAAATTTATTGCAATAAGAAAAATAAAACCCACCATCATCCTTGACATGTACTAATCACAAGTTGAAATTTAAGGAAGGATCATCCCCAATCCACCATCAGCAGTAGTGCCATGGCTTATGAGAGATGGGACACCTTAGGCATGAGGGCTGCTGACACCTTCACCACCACTTTTATTCAGCCTGAGGATAGACTGGTTAGCAGCATGTCCACATTGTCCGAGAAGGCAATTCTCCAAGAAAGCCAACTTGCAAAGTGCAAAGTCTGCTGACCCAGAAAAAAATTCTGAAGTGGCAAATGTCTGCTGTCCATAGGATTCCCTAGTTTGTTTATGTTTTTTTTAATCTTCTGCTAAAACTTTGACTTTTATAGAGGTAGTCACGCTTGTTGATGATCACTTAATCAAGGGCATTTAATTAGCAGCATCTGTCTGCTACTTAGCCTCTTAATTTTTATGGAAGCAGTAAGGATGTGCTTAGTTTTTCACATCTGATTTCTCCGTTTTGACTTTACTTTTGTTAAATAAATCATATGGTGTAATATGTCATGATTTGTTGTTAATCTGAGGTTGTATTTATCTAATTTTAAGACCTGTTAAGGAACAGATAGTTATTATTGTGTCATGTTATGTAAAACCATAGAATTCGAAGAGGGTGTAGTTTTTTTCCCCCATGACTGTATATATAGTCCTGGGAAAGCTTTTAATCCTTGGCAAAATGAAAAAAGTTTATTACTTATACGGTTTTAATATTTATTTTCAATAAATCTTGAGGGCTTTTTTTGTTTGTTTTTTAAATTATTTATAATGTGGAATAATACAAAGAATTCTGCAATGCCAAAGAATCCACAAAATGTTATACTAAGCAAGCTCGTATATATCAGTAATGCTAAAAAAAAGTATTTAGGTATATAATGTAAGAACCATAAATAACCCAGCTAAATGACTTCCTCGCTCTCAACCACACTCTTCTGTACTCAAGCCCATCGGCACACTCTCAGCATCCCAGCTCCGCATACATGCTTTGACTCTCACTCGGGATCTCCCTCCATCACACTCAAGTTTGTCCATGCTCTGCCACTAGCCTGTACATGCCTGCTGGATATCTCTCTCGTACACATATGCCTCTCATGACACATTAATTCGCCACTCTTTCCCAAATTTTTGCTATCTTTACACATTTGTATCTCTAACTGAAACCTGCACCTATGAGGTAATTGGTAGTTTTTGTCTTTGTTTCCCCCCCCCTTTTTCTTTAGCATTGTTTCATTTATAACTTACCAATTAATTAGGGGTTACCCCCGTTTTCACCCCATTACCACCACTGTGTCTCTTCTGATCACATAGGCTCTATTCTGGTTTTAGTAACGTACTTTTCATTATAGGAACAATCCATGCTTCATAACCACTAGAGCCTAGAAAATTGGGCAGACTAGATGGGCCGAATGGTTCTTATCTGCCGTCACATTCTATGTTTCTATATTAATGGAGTATCAACTTTGACATTGTCCTACCTCATCAAAAGCCATTACGTAGAAAGTAGGGTGCATCATTTGTAGGATGGGGAAGCCTGTTTGGCTACCAAATTCAAAGTGTGGAAACACAATTTTTAGATTTTAACTTCGCTCAACTCTGTAAAGGAAGTGTATTTCACAGCAGTGACTTTCTGCTTTTACTTGGTAGGATGCAAACAAACACACCTATCTTTCTGATGTCAAACAGGTCAACCAAAGAACAAACCACTCCATCTCCAAAGCCTCCTGACTTTCCTCTCTGCAGGCCCTAGATCAGGGGTAAGCACAGAGGTGTAACTTGAAACCACCTGCCCCGTTGGGAAAACACATACAAATACGCATACAGGCAGACAAACAGATGCACACATACATACAGATAAAGACCACCCACACATATGCGAACTGTAAAAAAAAATTAGTCACCCTCCTGTTTCCTACCTTTTAGGTGCTGGAGGGTGACTTCACTGGGATCCAGTGGCTGGCTCAGGCTGATGGAAACTCCCAGGTACTCACTTCTCCGTTAGCTGGGAGGAAGTGACTGGTTCACCCAGTTCTGACATCATCACTGGGGCCTGGTCGCGCTCTTAAAGCGCCACAGCGCTGACCGGGCCCAAGGAAATACTTTGCCATGGGTTGGCCCCAAGAACATGGTCACCCGTGGGGCCCCTTCAATGCACCCCAGTCCCAGGGGTCGGCAGGGTGTCCAGGCCCACTAGCAGCTGCGACCGCGGTAATTCCGCCACTATGTAAGCAACTTTCAGTGCTCCAGATGTTCTGGACTACATCTCCCATAATGCTCTAACCAGGGGCATACCTAGAGCATTTGGCACGCAAGGCAAACCCTGTATTTGGCACCCCTCTGAGTGTCTGTTTGTCCACCAGGCCCTTCTGTGTGTATTTATGTGCCCCCCAGCTTCTCTGTGTGTCGCTTTGTGCCCCTCAGTGTGTCTCTGAGAGTCCCTATATGTGTTTAAGTAATACTCCAGGCTCTCCTTGTGTCCCATTTCCCCGCTCTCCAGCCTCTCCATGTGTCCCATTCCCCCCCAGTCTCTCGATGTGTCTCATTTCACCCCTCCCCAGCCTACTCTACCTCCTGGCCAACCAGCAGTAGAAGAGCTCCTGTTCACTGTACCCGGTTGTGACGGAGCTCCTGTACTCCTGTACCTCCGCTCAACCCGCTTCCTAGCAGTTAGGGAGGGAGCCTGGAATGCTTTAACCCTAGTCGCCGAGGCTTGACTAGAGTCTCTCTGAAGCTTTTTCACCTAACCAGGCTACAGCTCTACTTTCAGGCAGCTATCGTCACCTCTGCCTATTCCTGTGCAGCTTTCCTTCCAATCACGTATCATCCCCTCTGCATATTCCTCTGCTGCTCTGCTTACAGTGATTGCTATTGCCTTTATAAGGGCACTTGCGGCTCTCAGGCCTAGCTCTTTTGATTTATCCCAGGGCTAGAAGGATCATGCAACCAGCCAACAGGTCTGAAGACAGTGTCACTAGAATCCCTAAAAATCCACACAGGACATACAGTTCCAAATAGAACTAACATAAATAGCTTTAATTTTACTTGAGATTAGCCCATATGCTTATTACATCATCTTTGCTGTGACAAATTTAATAAAATACAAATAAACAAAACATGTCAGAAAACATACAGGGAATTATAATAATCTAATATTTATAAATGGGTGGGGGAGACCATATTTAACACAAAATATCTCTCCTGGCTGCAGAATTAGCAATATGCAAACCTACCTGACTATGCTAATTAACAAGCCCTGCTATTCAGGAAGTTCATATAGCTGTTGCTACCAACAGAGGGCGCTACACAAGCTCCATAGCCAAATCCACTTAGTTGATAACAAACATCAGCAGGACAGGAGAGCACACAAAACAATTAACAGTATACAAACACATTCTAAACACCTTGCACCTATAATGGGCACAGGGTGACATAGGAGCAATTTAGGAGCCTTTGTAAAGTGTATTTCTGCTCCCAGTGATGATGACTACCAGGGCTGGACTGGGGGTACAAAGCAGCCCTGGCAAAAAAAAATCTATGCCAGCCTCATAAGTCATTGTGCTGTGTATTGTGTGAAATATATATATATATATATGTAAGAATACCCACATGCAGACACAGACAATCTCACTGTCACAAGCTCTTTGATTCACAGTCTCACAGACAGATAATCTCATTGATATACATATGCTCGTTAACATAAAAACACATGCACACAAATAGGCTTACTGACAGACAATCTCACTGACACACACAGACAAGCTTATTGGTACACACACAAATTTAGTACAAACTCTGACATGCACAGGCTTACTACACACACACGTTCACTGACAACCACATGCTCACTACAGACAAGCATACTGACACACATGTTCATTACAGACAAGCTAGCACACACATGCTCACTACAAAAAAGCTCACACACACATGCTCACTACAGAAAAGCTCACTGACACACACACACATGCTCCATACAGATAAGCTCACTGACACACATGCTTCCAACAGACAAGCCCACTGACACACACACATACAAGCTCACTCACTAGCAGCCACAGACACAAGCTAATTCAGGAGCAGGCACACACACACGTTCACTCACTCCCAGCTGGTATATAGGGGTCTCCTTCTGCTAAACATTTAGGCAGTGACTCATATACAAACAATTACTGTGTATCTTTTTTTTTTTTTTTTTTAAAGAAAAATAACCTTTAACCACTAGAGTTGTGATGATGAAGAAACTCCCTGCTTTGCACAGAAGGGATTCTCCTGGAACCCTTTCTTTGGCAAGAGAATTGGAATAACTACCTGGCTGCTTCCCTTTTACAATTTCAGAACCTTATTGATCTTGGCCTATTCATTAACTTGTTGGTGGGGTAAAAATAAACTAAAATCTCTGAATATGTGGAGATTGTTTTCCTAGGGGATCAAACTAAATCTGGCGAAGAGGAGCACAGCATGACACACTGTTAAGGGATCTTGCAGAGAGGAGGAGAGGAAAGGGTCTAGTTAGCGCTGTTGAAATAAACACAGACCACCCTGTGTCTGCCTGATCTCAGGAAACCTCATCAGACCTGACCTAACTCCCTCATGTTTCAGTCTTTCTTTTATTAATGAGTGGTCTAAGCACAATGGCACTGGGCTGCCCTGAAGACTCTTGTCCCAGGACTGGGTCTTTTCATTTTCATATGGTTATTGTATGTCTTATACTTAGAGAGCACATCTTAGCACTGAGTGCTGGATAACAGTTTAAAGGGATCTCACCTCTGAACACAAAGGCCATCTAAACAATAGCACCCATTGTCCATACTAAGACACCTACTGACACACATCACCAGGTTCACAGTCATAGATCACTCACTAGCAAACAGACACACTCACTCACACTCTCTCTCTCACTAGCAGACACACACACTCACTCACACTCTCTCTCACTAGCAGACACACTCACACTCTCTCTCTCACTAGCAGACACACACAGCCATGGCTGAAGCTTACCTGGCACTGGCAGGTGAAGTTGCCATTTTGTGACCCTTCTTTGCAGCGAGGTCAGCAATGTGCGTGGGGGCAGAGCCTACATGCGGAGGCGGAGCTTGCATGTGGAGGCGGGGCATGTGGTTGAAATTAAGGTAAATAGTGCAGGGAGACTCATAGGTCTCCCTCCGGCCGCTGGCAGATTAATTGCAGCTGCACCAGCCCCCAGCTCCTCCCTCATTACTCCCCTCGGACTGACACAGGCTCTCACAGTCCGAGGGGAAAATACTTAAAAACATTAACCTAATGATTTGGGCTGTGTGCCCGGCCCCATGTTAGTGCGGCCCTCCGGGAAATTTCCCGGTATCCTGGTGGGCCAGTCCGGTCCTGGTGACTACCGTCACACCGGTCTCACAGGAAGCAGTTCTGTGGTCTCTGAGAGCAATTCCTGTCAGACCAGGTAAAGGAACAGAATCTCCTTCAGTACCGCAGTCTGTGGCTCAGCCACGCTACATTCTGTGACAGACAGGGTCGGTGCAAGGATTTTTGCCGCACTAGGAAAAAAAATATTTACCGCCCCCTATATGTCCTGCCCAGACATCACAATGCCCCGCCCATATGCTCTGCCATATACCTGGAAATTTCCCAGTGGGCCGTCGGCACCTGGGGCCGGGCGGCCGCAGAGGGAGCTCTTTAGGCGGCCGCAGGGGGAGCTGGCGGCCACAGGGTTTGCTGGCTGTTCTGTCTCTGCTCCCCCTCTGCTCCCACTCCCCTGCACGCTACAAAGAGACCGGGGCCGGAATATGACGTCAATGACCTTATGTATATCAGTGAGATTGTTTGTCTATGAGGCTGTGTATCAATCAGCTTGTGTCAGTGAGATTGTCTGTGTCTGCATACTGCTTACTGTATAATTAAAAATTTTACTCTGAAAGGACCAATATTTTGTATTGGAAAAAGTAATATATATAAATATATATATATATATATATATATATATGTATATATATATATATATATATTTATATAAATCAATCATCTAGGGTGGCAATAGCCTTACATATTACAATATATGGCGCAATGACTTATGGGGCTGGCATAGATTTTTTTTCCAGGGCTGCTTTGGAATCCCCAGTCCGGCCCTGCTTACCACCAGATGAGGACAAAAGGATGAAGATTGGCTCAGGCTGCAGTCTGGCTCCATAGGTCTGGTGTAGATGAGGCTCTTTGGAGACTGTTTGTAACAGTGCTCACAACAATTAGCGAACAGGAAGCAGCTCCATTTTTTGGGGCCCCTTACACAGCTCAAGGTCTGGGTCTCCAGGGCCTGACCGTGAGTATGCCTAAAAGGCCCACCCATAAATCCACCTACGTGGCCCACCCATGAGTCCTCTCACAGGGAGTGGAGTGTATGGGTTGTAGGGGATGTGTAATTGTAGAGGACGTAATGTGTATGTGTTCTTATGGAATGTAGTGTAGAGGGATACCAATTTGTGTAAGGGATGTAGTGTGTGTATAGGGGATGCATTGTATGTTTCTGTGTGTGTGTGTGTGTAAGGGATGCAAGGTGTGTTTCTGTGTATGTATTTTAATGCAGTGTGTGTGTGTAAGAGATGCATTTTGTTTCTGTGTGTGTAAGAGAATGAGTGTGTGTGTGCGCGTAAGCAGGGGCGTACCTAGAGCATTTGGCACCGGGGGCGGATCCTGTGCTTGGCACCCCCTTTTTGCTCTTAAAAAAAAAAAAACCTGTAAAAAATGTTAAAGGTTTTCTTTCTTTTTTTTTACAATTTGTAAACTTTGCAAAACCGCTGTCAGCCCCTCCTACAAAACCCTTGTCCTGCCCCGCCCCTCCTACAAAACCTCTGTCCTGCCCCTTCTACAAATCCTGTACTGCCCCGTCTACAAAACCCCCGCAACCCCCTTCCACAAATCCCCTGCTTATCCCCCCTTATAAAGACTCCTGTCCCAATACAAAACCCCCGCCCCCTTCTACAAAATCCCTGCAGCCCCACACACACATTTACAGACAGACAGTCACACACTCAGTTACAGGCAGACAGTCACACACAGTCACAGGCAGACAGTCACACATACACATTTCATCCGTGCGGCCAGTTTATCAGCTGTTTGCTTGAGTGAGCTGTACTGGCCGCACGGCACCCTAACTACCATGGGACACTGTGCGGCTACAGCTCACACAGCCCCCTCCAGCCAGGGCCGGTACAAGGATTTTGCTTCTAGGTAAAAGTAAAGTTTAAGCTACTCTATGTGACATATCACAATGCCCCACCCATATGATTTGCCATGTTAACTAACGCTAGTGCTGCAGTGCCGCCGTGTTTACATTAAAAGGCCTGCAGGGACAGGCTATAGACACCAGAACCATTACATTAAACTGAAGTGGTTCTGGGGATTATAGTGTTTCTTTAATGTGAGGTAAATTAGAGCTTAGTGCCACGAATAATATACTAGATTGCCTACTTACAACCAGATGAGGATGATGATGGGCTCTAGCTGCAGTCTGGCTCCACTGGTCTGGTGCAAAACAGGCTCTCTGGAGGCGGTTTGTAACTGTGGTCACAAAAATCAATGTTCTGGGAGAACGGGAAGCAGCTCCATTTTTTGGGGGCCCTTTACACAGCTCAGGGTCTGGGTCCCAGGGTCCACCTTCATGTTCCACCAATGAGTTTGTTCACAGGGGGTGGAGTGTGTAGGGGATGTCTTGATATGTGTGTAAGGAATGCATTGTGTGAATCTGTGTTTGTATGTGTAAGGGCTGCAAGGTGTGTTTCTGTGTATGTACAGGATGCAGTGTGTGCATCTGTAAGGGATGCATTGAGTGTGTGTAATGAATGCATTGTGTGTTTC